GATGCCCGGCCCGACGGGGTGACGATGCCTGACGAGGTCAGAAGACCGTTGGCCTGATGCGTTTTACGCTGACACGGTAGTGAAGGAAAGTTGAGAATGTAGGATCCGTTTTGAGGCGTGTTCGTTTACGCGCGACGATACCGTCCCTGACGAGGTGACGATGCCCGGCCCGACGGGGTGACGATGCCTGACGAGGTCAGAAGACCATTGGCCTGATGCGTTTTACGCGGACGCGGTAGTGGTGAAAAAGTTGGGAATGAGCTGGACTTGGCTTGACGTGTAAGGATTGCGAAAGTTGATGCATGGCGTGAGTTAGTGTGCGAATGTGGTTGTATCGTGTGATGTAGTGCTTGATTATGGGGTAAAAACTACTAGGCATGGTATGGGACGTGCCCAAGTGGGTTTTGCCTTATAATCGAGGCACGCGCGATTGTGATGGATTGATGCATGTGAATTCATATTACATGCTTTGGTGTTGCGACATGAAGGATGCATCATTGTGGTATGTTGGTTGTATTATTATCTAACGTGCAGGGAGGTGTATGAACAATCTTAGGTAGGTTCGCGTGTGATTGTTAGTATGATTGGTTGTTTGTGTCAGGTATGTGTTGTCTGGAGGTACGTGATAGCCTAGGTGGGGTTTAGGGGTGTACTTATTGAGATGTAATCTCATGGTTGTTTCAACCAAACATTTCAGAACCCCGGTCTGAACAATGAACCTTCCGCCGCCGCCGCAGCGTTTTGCAATACCATTGCACACTGACATTAACGTAGTAGAGTACCCGACAGACGAGCAGAAGACTCAGGAGGATTCAGATTCAGAGAACGAAGAATCAGACTCGGAGTGGACGCCAAGTAGAGGGTGTAGGGGCAAGTGTAGAGGTTGTGAAATAGGCTTTTGAAGTGTAGTATTTTGGTGATAGGGTACCCAGGTTATCGATCCTTTTTTATATCGGTGGTATGTAGTGTGGCGGTGCGGTGTGCTGGTATATATGTGGTTTTGTAAATTGTGGATATTATATAAGTTTGAATGAGAAATGAATATGTGCATTCTCCCTGATTACCCCAGTTATTATCGTCCGGGTATTGGTGGTTTCCGCCGTTGATATAAATCTCTAATAAGTTTAATTTGGGTCGGCGATACCCTGGGATGTCGCATCATTCGACTAGAAAAGTGTGTCGTGTGCTCGAAGGGGTTCGGGGCGTGACATCTAGTGTGACAAATGTTGTTGTGAAGCCATATGCCTTCTTTACTAGGAGGTAGCATTCAAGACCCAATGAAGGATTAGATATTCTCCTTGATCTGCGTAGATAACTTAATTTCCCTCCTCCAATGCTTCATTGAAGGTAAGTGAGTCATAATGTTTCCTTTCTTCAAGCGCTTCTTCTAGTAGATCTATTCTAGACTAGAAAATATTTCTAAAAAAGAAAATTCAGTTCCAAGTGAATCAAACCAGGTCTAGTCAATCTTTTACGCTTGTTATAAATCTCACAACACTGTAATGGTGTGGAAGAACTGTCCTTTTTTTGTTTAATAATTATTTAAATTCATACGAAAAGTACAAAAAACATATCTTATTCTTTTAAGTATCGTACCTCCAAATTCAAGTTCAAGCTCAAAGTTGAGCTCTTCAGCTCCGGTTCGAGTTGAACTTGAGCTATGTACTGAGATTTAATTTTGGTAATCAATCTTACGGAAGTCAAGTTTTGGCTTCGAAAACATCATCAAGTAAAAGCTCAAGGCTTAATCAATAGCTCATTCAAACTTGAGGCGAGTGTCGCAGTCTCAGTTCTTCTGAACTGTGTCTTCAAATTTCAAGTCCTCCTGAGTCACACAATCGGAGAAATCATTAAGCAATATGAGGCGTAGTAAAAAGATATAATGTTGCCAAAGCTTAAGCAACATCATGTATTGATAACCTCTTGGATAAATTACAATTGATGCATACTTTTTAAATGTGTTATTGCGGAAGTCAATCGATTAAACAATAAAATAGACAGAACAAGAAAATAAATCGGACACCAGATTTACGTGGTTCGGTCGTAGTGACCTGCGTCCACGGGGAGAGCCGCAACGAATTCTACTGTAGATTAAACAATACAACGGAGATTACAACCACACTTGAATCACTTAAACACTAAGTGTTTCCCAGGCCCCAATTACACTCAATAACTCACGCAGTATTTAGCCCCACAATTCCTCATAAAATAATATCTCAATTTCACGAAAGAATTATATACAAATTCTTACCACAAGAATTTAATTGACTACAACACACTTGGATCTCTTTAGGGTGTAATTCCCTAGCAGAAGCTCCTCTTTGATGATCTTCACAAGTAACATCCCGTTCTTATTTACAGACAAGAATTGGATGCAAATTAGGAAACATCTTTATAGGAAACCTTATCCAATTAGGAAATATTTTCCAACTAGGAAACCGGAAACATATTCGAAATACGAAACCTATTTGAATTAGGAAACTTTCCTATTCAGACTCAAACTCGAGATATATTTTAATATGTGCCAACAGAACAAACTTCCTATAGCAACAAGTGTAGTACATAGAATCTCAATCTTCTTGCAGCTAGGGTAAACTTAATTTAATGTGTCGGTCAATTGAAAAAACAAAAAATATGGACCGATGAAAAAAAACATTTATTGAAGAGTCAAATGCAACACTTATGGGAGATATATCAGTCGTGACATCATTGCTTAACTACCTAAGTTATATCAGTAAATGAAATATTTAGATCTGAAAATTTGATATGCTGGACCCATAACCGAGAAACACGCCTCATGCCAGGAAGATTATATCGCGGTCAAACTATAAATAACACTGTATATGGGAACGGAAGAATTCAAACCGGTCTTGTCTTACCTAACCCATAAAATCTGTCAGTAAACTATTGTATATTTTGATTATAATCGGATGGACCACGAGAGGAAAAGACCTGGATAGTTTCTGTAATACAGGGGACGGGAAGCCAACAAAATTCAGTTCATGAAACTTGCATGAATAAGAAAAAGGGTAAATACATGATAAGATGGAAGTGGTTTTACCATCTGAAAAGTATTCAAATGTTCGAACCAATTTGACTAAATAGATAATCGGAGGCAAGTTTTCATTATTTTCTTGGCAGCTAGAAACATTCTGTGTATCTTACGTATCTGTTTAAACCAAACCACCAAGAAGGAGATTGACTAAAATCACGCCTAAAATAACATAGTCCAAGACGAATTTTGTAAGAGCAAGCTGTTCTAGCTTTCTTGTCTTTACACAAGTAGCGTCAGGCATGACTTTTCGTGAGTATCCTTCCCTTCCAACATCCTATGAATCTGGATGTAATCCCAAGCCAATGAGGCCATATAACTCAATAATTTTGAGGAAGTATCAAATAATGAGAATGTAATTCGATGATCCGAAAACTAGACAAACACAAAAAGTAATGCACAGGCACGCTGATCTCCCATTTTCCAAGGCTACCGTGGGTATGGCTTGGTTATGGAGGCCTCATTTTTCGAGAATTGGTTCGATTTGCTTCTTGATCTTTCGACCTCGGATACCCTCGAACTGTAATCCTGCGTGGACGGCATATCAAATTCGATGCCGTTGTGCAGGAAGAATGCGGGTCTCGACGGCACTTGGAGACTAACCGAATGGCTGTTAAGCATGAGAAGGACTGAGGCCATTGTTGGCCGGCTAGCCACGTTTTCTTGGACACATAGTAGACTAATGTGGATGCACCTCGAAATTTCGGTAGTCGAACCATAAGCTATAGAGGGGTCGATGATGTTCGATAATGATCCTTCCATCCAATGCTTCCAAACCTGCAAACATCGAACAAAGATTGAGCAGATTGATCTCCGGAATATTATGCGAATTGAGAAGGTATGTTCTTATACTCACATAGCTTATAAGGACCTCCATGTCATTGCCCATGCGGTGATTGTTCCTTTGACCACTCACAATCTCTAAAACCAGCACTCCGAAACTGAACACATCTGACTTGACGGAGAAGTTTCTGTTCATGACATACTCCGGCGCCATATATCCGCTATGCATCACAATAAGTCCACCATATTAGTTCTATCGTTTGCTCTGTTATGTTGGTAATCATTAGCTCTAGGAGTATGTGGCACTTACTAGGTCCCCACAATTCGGTTTGTCTCTGCCTGAGTTTGGTCCAACTCGAACAGCCTCGCCATACCGAAATCCGATATCTTAGGATTCATGTCTAAGTCCAACAAAATGTTGCTGGCTTTGAGGTCCCGATGGATGATACGAAGTCGAGAGTCTTCGTGTAGGTAAAGCATCCCTCGAGCAACACCCATTATTATCTTGTGACACCTATTCCAGTTGAGATTCGCACGCTTTGGGGGATCTACGCGTTTAGAAGGAGTCACATTCTATAAGACGTCCATTAATCATTTCATGAGTATTTGATTTTAGGAATGACAACCCGAGAAACATACCGAAAATGAATTGATCAAGGCTTGAATTGGGCACAAACTCGTAAATGAGAAGCCGCTCGACTCCTTCCAGACAGAAACCTAGGAGCCTGACCAAGTTCCTATGTTGTAGCCTTGCTAGTAATATGACCTCATTCTTGAATTCTACTTGCCCTTGGCTAGAATTCTGCGACAACCGTTTCACTGCGATTTCCCGTCCGTTGGAGAGCTGACCCTGAAATTTCACCAAAGTATGTCCTTGTGAGTATTGATTGGTACATTGAAGCATTTCGAAGAGTATTATATTGATGTCATCTTTGAAGAGTTGGTTGCTGAAATTTTGAACACAAGGGAGTAGTGAATGTGCTTTGTTAATTATTACCTTGTAAACAGCACCAAAACCGCCTTGTCCAAGCTTCTTGGAATCCGAGAAGTCATCTGTTGCCGCTCTGATAGTGCCGAAATCAAATCGCAGTGACTCTGCCGTGCTAATTTCATGCACAACTTCACCTAGGAAGACATAAATGCGGTCATTCTGGGCGAGCATCATTACCTTATAGTTTGCATAATGAAAGTTTCACAAACTTTTAGTATATATAATTGCACCTGTAGGCGTTACTAATAAACCCTAAACCCTTTACCCTTATAAAGTTTTTGGCCTATTTGTTCAAAGCGATTCAGCTCTTACTACTTTGCTGGTGAAAAATCATAGTAATTAGTCAACTTAATTATTTTCATGATCTTTTTTAACCTCATGAATAGTTGCTATTCCAATGCAAAAGGATAAAGACTCGCCTTCAACACTTCGTCTGGACTGCTTCATCTTCCTTTTCATTTTCAGGAGCATGACGACAACGCCGATGACAAGTAGTGCAGAAACACTTGCGCAAGCCGCAATGATCATAGTCCTCATCGGATTGCTCTTTCCAACTGCAAGAGCAAAGGCACATTATGTTTATGATCATTGCTCACTGATTACGACTGTGAAAACGAGACTCATGTTGCAAAGATATAACAAGAACAGATACGCACCACAAATTACGATGTGAAAAATACATCGCGCCGTTCTCTGGTAACTTAAGGGAAAGTTATTCATATTTCTGGATTTTGTCATCCTACCAATTTTCGTCTAAAAAGATTTGGAATATATCACTTTATTCTCTAAATTTGTAAGTTTCTAGGGATAATCGGTTGCCTTTTCCACTTCAAATTCTTTAATTTCATGAATTTCTTACGGAAATCAGAGTAAAGACAGTGAAATGTTTTACAGAAACAGAGTGGAGCAAGGAACATCCGATGCAAGTTTGCAAATATTTGCAGAGTTACTAGAGGTCCCAATGTGCACATATGGGACCAATATACACATGCGGACCACCAACAATGGATTTTATCATCTTAGCAGAAGACCGCAATGGAGATGACCACCATTGTGGTGGTGATCACTGCTAATGAAAAAACCAGTGTGACCCTAGACTCACAATCTCATAAGACAGCTTGTGAGCTATGAATGCCATAAGTTGTGACTCAATGAACTGACTGTGATAGTTTACTTGTATCCATGTAAATGCATCGATGATTAAACATGTCTTCTTTTCCCAAAAATATGGACCAACCGGTAACTTCTTTTTTGTCAAAGAGCATTTATCAGTTAAAATTACATGATCTACTGAGCATATATCTATAAACAAAAGTCCTTTGATTTATAGAGCATGTAGATTAAGCTCATATGAAGAATTGATTGTGTGAATATCACTCGAAACCTGCATAATGTTATAGAAAAAAGAAGAAGACCCAAACACCGTGTACCTAACTCCTGAACAAGAGCCTACATACCTGGTGGTGGAGGCAGCACATATCCCTCCTGCGATGGCGGTGACGTTGGTGGCTGTGGAAGTGGTTCACTGACCGGGTCAAAGAACCGATGATTGGTCTCGTACAGGATCAGGCAACTTGGCACCATGAACCGTCCTCCTGTGTACATGACACAGCAATCTCTGATCGTTTGGACTCCTATCACCAGGCAGTCGTTGCATTGCTGCTCCGTCAAGTCCGGCGTGCACTGCACCAACGCGTAGATCATGTCAGGCCCCGCTGATTCGTTCCCTGATGCGTACTTTCTCAGCGAGCCACCACCCGCCGCATCGGCCCGCAGACCGTTCAGGAGCTTCCTCATTGCTGCATCGTACATGTCTGGGCTCGAGACATTATTAGAGGTTCTCGCCACGTAGGTGGGTTCTGTCGTGGCTGCACCGAAGAACGAGGCATCCGAGTAGCGGATGATGCAGTTCCCGGAGTAGAGGAGTGCCTCCTTCTGGAAAGGGCAGAGGCGGCGGATGTCGGAGGCCAAGTCATTGAGGCAGGCACGGCAGCCCACGGCGGTAAAGTCACCGCGGCAGAGGCCAAAGAGGAAGAGGGTTTCGGAGGCGCCGGAGACAGCGGTGGAGGCATTGAAGAAGCCGTAGGAGAGGGACAAGGAGTTGGTGGTGGAGATGGAGGAGAGGAGGGTGGTGAGGGTGGTTTCGTAGGTGCTGTTGGCGGTGAAGTTGCCGGTCGAACCACAGTAGGTCGCTGGAAATTGGGCGTTTATGGTGGAAGCAAACAGGAGAAGAAGCAAGAGGAGATTTGGAGGATCCATTTTTTCTTTGATAGAAGTAGTACTCAACAGGCTCGTTTCCTAGATAATATGACTACCGGGATCGATCGATTGCAAAACAAAGTGTGTTGAATCATTTTATATAGGGGCGGCCCCTATGCCTGGCACGCTAGGCCCCAGATATTATTAGTTTGAGGACATATTATTTTGTAAGATATTTAAAAAAATCGTGTGTAATTTTCCATTTGGATCGGCATCTTACTTCACTGTTTCAAAGGTGTCACGACCTTGACTTGAGATATAAATTTACATTGATATAAGAATACGGTCAGGATAACAAAAAGTTACGTCTTGTAATACCTTAAAGAATGAAAGGCTGGAGCCATCATCCACCTCACTAATTTTACCCTAAAAGATCAATTATTGGGTTGGGTGGCCAAAATACCATTTTAAAGAGCGTTGTCATACTAAATGACCTAAAGAATTTTGAGTATATATGAAAATCACATGACATAAACCAAGGGTTTAATCTTAAGAAAGTAAATTTGTTGAAATATCTTACGAAAAATTATCACTGTTGTAGAGTTGTTGCAGAATTGTCGTGTTTCTCAAGGGGCAACATTTGAGTCTCGGATAAGTATTGACTCATTTTACTGCATCTCTGTCTTTTGTAAATATAATAAGACGACCAGCGATTTCCAAGCAATGAGCAATTCGAGACTCTAAGAAGCAAGTTCATATATATATGTAATGGAAAGCTACGTCGAAAAATAATGTTGACACGGCATTTTATATTTTACTTTGTTTGGTAAGAGGAAACTTTCACTTAAATCTCATGTTCCATAATTTAAAATTAGAAGTTGTTGAATGATTGCTACTGAATGGAATGGGAGAATCTGATTTGGTAAACCAAGGACGACTCAAAAGTCTCTTGAGCAATAACTCAAACATAAAAAATTTCGCAAATGAAAAAGAAAGAACTTGCAAATTGTATGATTGCTAATGAATGGATGGACTGTATATTGATCTGCTAACTGGAAGATCAGCCCATATTTCGATTCCCAAATGGCTATTAACCACTAATGACAAAAGTTTAGGGTTAAGTGCGAAGAACTTACTTTTCCCGTTGTAAAGTCCTTACTTTGCCTACTATACATTGAAACATACTTTTTTTATATCAAAAGTTAGTAACCCTGTAAATTAAAAAGTACATGATTTCTAGGTATATGATTCCGCTGCAATGCTAATAATAATAGATCAAACATTTACTATCAAATGATTTGTACCATATAGGTAATCCTATCGATATGTAGAGATGGTTGCACAAGTATAATTCTTGATGCGGCTCTCACACGGTCAAGAGGTGGCTCAAAATGCCGTGGAAGAGTAACTTTTTGAAATTTTCAGATTATACTTTCCTTTTCCTTTTACTGTTCATCCTTTTTTAATCTTTTATTGTTCATCTTCTTTTTTTTTTTGTCACAATGATCAGAATCTCCAATTACGAACGAAATGGAGAACCACCTCGATGCACAGAGAACTCACATCGAAGAACAAGCCATGGAAATGACAGATCCACCTCCAAAACCCTAACCACAACCCCCACATTGACTTTCCTTAGAAACTTTAAGTGTCGCCAGCGTTCGCCACCCCGCGCGATGGGCACCGCTGCAATGTCAATTTTTGAATCCCAGAGGACATGGGCCAGATCGTTCGGGAGCGGGCCTTCTGGACGCTTTGAGGACTTTGGCTTCGGAGGATGATCTGCTTCGCACCTACATAGACTTTGAGAATTTTAGATTCAAGCTCGCTGATATGGGCAGGGACCATCCGATTCGTAGCATGAGAATGCGTGTGGAGGTGAATTGGGAGAGAAGAGCACGAGGCCGAGGCATCGATTTAGTTACTCAGTGGATAACTCTTCGATTTTGGAGAGTATGGAGGCGAAGAAGGCCATGGCTCCTGTTGTATTATTAACGCGAAAACTGAAAATATCTTGCAATTTAAATCAACAACAAATCACCAGAAAAATAAATAAGGAATAATAATGACACCAAAGATTTACATGATTTGACCCAAATGTCAGTACTAACTTTACAGAAAGAGCTAGTAACAAATATTCCACTATAATCGGAGAATCATAATTACAATAGCTCATACGCTCAAGTGTTTCCCACAATTAAATTACATCCAAACCCAACTGTCTACAAATAAATAAACGACTCAATTTGAATGTAAAACTCACAACACAAATCTCATGTATGACTGTTCAGAGAAGTCTTCGCTAAAGTTCTCTGTAGGTTCTCCGAAGAAAATCTTCACATACCGCTTATTTATATATGTGAGTCAATAAATCAACTTTGACCAATCAAGAAAGAATACGATTTCCTATTGCCTTATATTTTAAGGGTTAATATCACAAAAAACCTCAACTATGCCTATTGCAACACAAATATCCTAATTTTTTTTGTGTCACTAAAATCCCTAAACTTGTTCATTATGACACAAATACCCCAAACTTTTTTTGCATCATAAAAAAACCTTGAACTTATACCAATGCGCAAATATACCTTGGATGGACCTTAAATAGAGGGTATATATGTCACACAAGTATAAATTTCGGTTTTTTCATGACACGAAAAAAGTTGGGGATATTTGTGTCACAATGGGCAAGTTTAGGATTTTTTGTGAAAAAAAAAAGTTTAAAGTATTTGTGTCACGCCCCGAACCCCATCGAGCTCGCGACATCCCGCTCCGGTCGAATAGTTGCGACGTCCCAGGAACGTCGCCGACCCAACCCAAACATCAGAGCCACATGTGGAAGCGAATATAAAAACCCCGGACAAAAAGATGACGACAACGGGGTAGAACATCAGAACAATCAAACAACAACATCTTCATACAGCACAAGATATACAAACATCATATTACAGACATAAATACAGACGAACATCCGCTGCCATCATTTTAACAAAAGTTCAGGGGTTTGGTTATCTTAACTTCACTATCGGATAACCCAAGTTAAACAACCCCTAAAACAGCCTAGGGAATGCCTACTGGTCGCCTTCCTTTCTGCTCCTGATTCTTCGGGCTTGAGCCTCCGGACACTCACCTGCAGCTCCACCGGTCACCAAAAGCGGTTCCTCGAACTTCCAAAAAAAGAGGCAAACTTCCTAGGTTTACGACTGGGGGTCTGAAATTGTGGATTATACAACTATGAGACGAATCTCAATAAGTGTACAACCCCAAACCCCACGTAGGCACTCACGTACCGCCAGACAGAACATGCATCTCACACAATGATCAATCAATCTAACAATCACACATGAACCTACCTGGAATCCATCAAGCACGTTCCTGCACGTTAGACCATAATACAGCCAGCACCTCACAGAAATACATCATAGACGCGCGCGTGCCTTAATTATAAGACAGAAACCACTTGGGCACATCCCATACCGTGCCTAACAGTTTCTACCCTATAATTAAGCATCACATCACGCGATACAAACACACTCGCACACTACTCACACCATGCGTCACTTTCTCAAACTTCGCACCTCAAACCAATTCCCGCTCATTCTCAACTCTTCCACCACTACCGTGCCCGCGTAAAACACATCAGGCCAACGGTATTCTGACCTCGTCAGGCATCGTCACCCCGTCAGGCCGGGCATCGTCACCTCGTCAGGGACGGCATCGTCCCGCGTAAACGAACACGCCTCAGGACGAAATCCTACACACACTTTCCTTCTACCGCGCCCGCGTAAAACGCATCAGGCCAACGGTCTTCTGACCACGTCAGGCATTGTCACCTCGTCAGGGACGGCATCATCCCGCGTAAACGAACATGCCTCAGGACGGACCTTTCTCCAACCAATCCTACACACCCGTACCTTCGTTCCACTCATACCACACTTACCACACGACCACACACATACATGGCCACGCACAAATTCACACCTCACATACACTTCACAAACACACGTTCTCGTCACACGAACACGCCACCCGATCACATATACTTGGCACACGAACCCAATGCACAATCGCACCACCACGCCTCATGGCCACACACTCACGGCACATAACCACGCCATATTCATTCTAACAATCACCCAAAAATCAGCCAACAACAACAATTCGCACCGTCATTCAATTAAAAACATACAAGCCATAGAACTACCAATCTAACACACAATTTAACCACAGTCGATCCGCAACATCACAGCCATATCCGAACCTCCTAAACCTCGTATATTCAATCCTAAATAGTCCACAACAACCCAAATTTCCAGCCTCGATCCACGCTTCAAAACAGCCACATAATCCACCTAAACCGAGTCCTAAACTAGTCTAACAATACATGAGGTCCTAGGTAACGTTTGGGGGAGTCACTTACCTAATAAAAATAGGACACTTGGCTGGACAAGGGGCTGGGATGGCCGGAACAGCAGTGGCGGCGGCGGCATCGCTGTCGACGTACGGACGTCGACGTGCAGACACCGTACGGACGTCGACGTACGCGCGACATATGGACGCCGTACAGATGCCGTACGGACGGCGACGTATGGACGGCTGAAGCGTCACGGTGGTAGCGGCTCGACTGTTCGAGCTCTGGCGCAGCGGCGGTCGGCCTCCAAGCGGCGGTACACGGCGGTTCCTTGCGCCGAACGAGGAGAGAGAGAGAGAGAGAGAGAGAGAGACGAGATGGGGCGGTGCTGCTAGTGGGTGGTGGCTCGACGAGGCAGCAGCAGCGATGGCGATCGGCGGACAGCGGCGGCACGGCGGCGGTCCGGCGAGCTCCGGCGTCCTTGGCCGAGAGAGAGCTGGTGAGGGAGAGAGGGAACGGCGGAGGAGGAGGGGCTGATCGGTGGGGGGGGTTTCTGGCCGAATGAGGGAGGAGAGAGAGAGGGCCGGTCCAAAGTGGTCAAATAGGGTGGCTGGTGGTGACACTTGTCGCGATCCTACGCGATTTCCCATTTTGCCCTTGATCCAACGGTCCTCGTTTGTCCATATCCAATAATTGAGGGGCAAAAGCGTCTA